CCTCCTCAGACTCTAGAAGCACTTCGAGAAAAGTTGGTGGATGCCTGGAATGAGGTACCACAGGAGGACATTGACCACCTGATCAGAAGCATGCCTAGGCGCGTTGGAGAATGCGTAGCACATCAGGGTGCACCCACACATTATTAAAGGTCCAAGGGCTTTAAAGCAGTGCAATCATTTTGAAATTTTTATCATTTACTTATTATGCTTCATTAAGTACTTATTCAAAATTTTATTAAAATAAAACCATTTAAACTGGGTGTTCGGATTTATATGTGACTTAGTATATATTTATCAACTAGTATTGCACTGCAACAGGACATTATAGTGAAACAACTGTAAACACTTGATAACTTATAGTTTACCAAAATACATAACTCACCTGCGAAACGTACAAAATATTAGCAATATGAAAAAAGTGTTGTTATGGCAGCCTATGCTTTGTGTGTAGGTATACTAACATACATTATTACGAATAGGTAGGTATTCAAACAAAAAGACTTCCCACACACCACAACATCTCAACATCCCGTGTGGGAGCGTAACGAACCATGCTTTCAACGTCGTAAAGTCCTTTGACGCCGACCAAATTTACCGACAACAGCCCGAAAGTGCCATGTTGGACACATGCAATCCGTCAGCGCCCTCCCACACGATTTGGCGACTGGCCATGTGTCCAACGTTGTAAGGCATCCGCCATATCGTGTGGGAGCGATTTTAGAAAGAGAGCGTCGATGGCGTCCGTGGCCTCGGCATTCGGACTGCTAGGCAACGAGGTGCTTCTATCTCTTTCTAACACACGAATTGCACGCTTCTCGCGCTTCTTTCTCGTACAAATTACGAAGTCAGTGGTATATGGTTTTCACTATATAGTATGAACTCACAGAGCGAAACTGGATGAATATAGGCAACCAGCATTGCAATAAAAGTACGCTTGGCAATTGCAATTTGCAAATTAATCGACGAATTTTATGACTAGCTGACAAAGAAATGGGTCCTAGTACCTTCGGATCTTTAAAGGCTTTAGGGTCAAATTTCGTTTTGGTGTTAAAATCAAATTGAAATATACTGCTGAGGGGTTAGTTCTGATTCCGTATTTTTTCTCTCTTTAGTTGACTTTCACTTCCCGCGAAAGTGAGATATTGTAGTTTGTGAATGTTAAGCCATGTCACTCACTTCCGTCGGTCTGTTTGATCAAATTTTCATATACAGTTAGTACTATGTCAAGGACGAAAATCGGTTCGTTTTTCGATGCTTCAGAGGTTCCAAATTATTTTCAGGGAGACTTTTGTAGTGGTTAAAAATTGGTGTTGGGGATTGTAGGGTAGATATATTTCGATTTTTTAGTTGGAATCTGATCGATGCCTGGCCAATGGGCGGCTGGCATGGTGGTTGACAATGTCGGTCATAGCAATGTTGCCAGATGCTCATTGCTGTTGGTAACATTTCTGGAAAGCAACGTGGCTTGCTTGAAGGACTTGATCCATTTAATTTTCTACAGTGTTATCCATGCTCGTAACAGCGTCACGTGGAAAGTGCAGAGTCAACCTGCCCGACGCCATGTCAGAAATACGTATCGCTCGCGTTACCTATCCTATTTTCTGCTCGAATCTACTTTCCTTCTTTTTGCGGATTTTGACCATTATCTTCCTATTTTTGTTGTATATATATATAGGTTCAGCATTTATGACGTGCTCGAAATTATTCAAGAAACTGGATGAAAGTTAGTTCTGTCAACAAAATGGCGTTAGGTTTACAAAACGTAATCTACACGAATATTTTTCATGTAACCTTTTTCACCTGAAAAAGTTTAACAAGGTAGTTAAATCACACGCAAGTAACACTTGGTTTAATAACAGAGTTCCACAATTCATAAATCAAAATTTCTTGTCAATATAATAGGATGGAAAGTTTGATCGTGATATGCGGTCTTAAGGGGAAGCACAAAAAATACTGTTGACGTTCTGGGCCAATTTGCCAATTTCGGGTAAAATATTGCTTCATCGTAACACACGTGTGCGGTGGTGTTCCAAAAATATTGAGGAAGCGTCTGATATGTGGGTTACTTATTATTTATCCCGAAATTAGCCCACAACGTATCGAACTTGAGTGAACCGATCTAGCCAGGTTTCGATTACATTTGACGTTTTTGGATCGATTAGGCTAATTTGACATATAAATCCGAACACCCAGTTTAAATGGTTTTATTTTAATAAAATTTTGTGTAAGTACTTAATGAAGCATAATAAGTAAATGATAAAAATTTCAAAATGATTGCACTGCTTTAAAGCCCTTTGACCTTTAATAATGTGTGGATGCACCCTGATGTGCTACGCATTCTCCAACGCGCCTAGGCATGCTTCTGATCAGGTGGTCAATGTCCTCCTGTGGTATCGCATTCCAGGCAACCACCAACTCCTCTCGAAGTGCTTCTAGAGTCTGAGGAGGACGTTGCAAATTGAGCAATCTCCTACCCATGATATCCCACACGTGCTCAATTGGGGATAAGTCGGGAGATCTTGGTGGCCATGGTAACAATGTGACATCATTATGTTGAAAGAAGTCTATTGTGACTCTTGCAACATGTGGTCGGGCATTATCTTGTTGGAAAGTTGGATCTGCCAGGGTGTCAAGATAGGGTAAAAGATGGGGTTCTAGAACTTCGTGGATATAATGCTGCGCGTTCATGTTACCTCTGATGAAGATTAAAGGTGACCTGGAACCATAAGCTATAGCACCCCAAACCATAACTTCAACAGTGTGATGAACATGTCTTTCAACAAAAAACTGTGGATTCCTCCTTTCACCACGTCGCCTTCTAGCCCTGGCACGACCATCGTGCATGCCTAAACAAAATCGAGACTCGTCACTAAAGACAATACTGTTCCATTCCTGATCCCAGAGTGACCGTTGTCTGCACCACTCAAGGCGATTACGTCGGTGTTCTCGAGTTAAAGGGAGGAGGACCCAGTGTGGCCGGTATGAAAACAAGCCAAAACTTCTCATTAGTCGGTAAACACTTCGCATGCCAATAGGTCTTCCGTGTTCTGCAAACCATTCATTTGCAATGGACCTGGTAGTGGAGAAACGGTCCCTTAAGGCCAATAATCTTAAACGGCGATCTTCACGGTCTGTTGTTCTACGGCGGCGTCCAGTGCCCCTTTGCTCTGTGCGTACGGCCTTCTCGAAGCCATGCCTGACAACACCTAACCACAGTGTCTACACTTCTTTGCACTCTAACTGCAATTGCCCGAAAAGAAAGTCCAGCTTCCCGAAGTCCCACTATACGGCCCCTATCAAACTCACTAAGTTGACGAAATCGTACAGGTCTCCGTACTCTAGGCATCGTAACCGATCGTAAAGGATGTCAAGAACCAAAATCCGCCAACGTTGATTCTTTACTGCGGCTGAAATATTCATTTTTAGAGCGTTAGTGAATTAAAAAAAAGCAGTATAAAAACCGGAATGTCCATCTGATAGGGCTGAAAATTTTTTCACTTGTTATTTACAGTAAGATAAATACATTCACCAACTTTTATTAAAATAATACCATTTAAACTGGGTGTTCGGATTTATATGTCACTTAGTATATTACGAGGGGGAGGGAGGTGTCCACTTAATCTACTTGGAGCCATTTTGTCACTGGTGAACAATCTAAAATTGTCTAAAATTCTGACTCTTCCCTCTTAAGATCAATGGTTTTGTTGTGGTATTGAAATATCAGAAAGAAGCTTTGCAGATGTATGGATGACTTCCTCCCTGACCGCCAGATATCCGACATCATTTATGGGTTCTCCTCTTCATCCCACTATATTACGCGGGTGTTTTCCAGGGATCAGTCTTACCTATCTGTACCCAATACTGTTTGAAATTGAAGGGGAATAAAGAAGCCATCAGTTATATTGTTGAAAGGTGTAGACTCTATAGAACAGCGTCATCGGTGATTATAGATTTCCAACCTCTCGCTGATATCGATTCAATAATATATTTCCCAGAAATTTAATTAAATATTGAAGTAGTTCAATTTCTAGCTTAAATGGCCTATCACAAAGCTGTTCGGTTTTCTGTAGACACCCTAGGAGTGTGCTTTGATCTGATTGTTGAATTTACACTTGAGATTGGTCCGAAAATTGTGGGTATTACACAGTCGTAACTTAAAGTAAAGCTCCGGGTCTTCTAGGTGAATATTGAACTTTAGTTTAGACACTTGAAATCCTAAACGGATTTCAAATTGTATGTTCCTTTGTAAATGTCGATGACATAAAGGCGTCAAGTAGGTTGACGTTATCATTTGTTTTAGCTTAAAATACTATCTTGTATATCATAATTGTTGTACAATCAAAGTCTGTCGTCGATTCGTCAGAACGTCAAATGATGACAAAAGCCTGAACCTTTTTCTAATAAGAACATCATTCTACCGGGAGACTTTACCATGAAATTTGGTACTAACAATAAATATTGTGTATCTTTCCTAGATATGTTTTCTACTTATGGAGAAATGATTTTCATTAATTTCAATATAGATAAAAATGTGTGGCATCTGTTGACACAAGGTTTTGTATCGTTCATTTGGGTCAAATAATGGGTGGAATGCATAAAACGTAGTAGATGCTGATGCTTCAAGTATGTACTACATTTTTGAAGTTTTAACTACACTAACAAAGCATTTACTTTCCTCCATAGCATATGCTACTATGTACGAGATACATAGAAGAGTATACTACGCTTTAGAAGTATTTGGTGGTTTAATAGTATTTGCTCCAGTGTAAGTGAAGTTAGTGCATCAGCAACTTCGGCTACCGCAAATTCAGTATTTTTTTTTTTGGAAAATGGCAGCATTCATGAATGTGCGTCGTAGAAAAGTTTACAAAGAAGCGAGGATATACAACGATGATATTTATCGTAAATAATTTAGGTAATTATCATAAATCGTGCAGTTTTATGGTTATCTAATTATTATTAATATAAAATCAAGTTACTTTCATAATTTTTTGTTTAAGGTTTAACAGAGAAAATGTAGAGTGGCTTGCAAACCATTTTCTTGACAATAATGAGGATCCCGTAGAAACAATGAAAATGGATATATTTTTGAGAAGTTTAGGTTAATATAGGAAAGTAATTCTAAAATTTAAAAAATATAAATATAAATTTTTCAGGAGATCCTGGATTCCAGCAAGGAGTTGCTGTTGATTTAGATGTAAACCAAAGTACTGTATCCAGAACCTTGATTACTGTATCTGAAGCAATTTATTCCAAGAGAAATAACTGGATAACATTTCCTAATACTAACGATTTACTTGGAGTTGCTATCAATGAGTGGGCAAATACCAAGCGAATGCCCAGTGTCATAGGTGCTATTGATTGCACTCACGTTAAAATAACAAAGCCACGAATCCATGGTGATGAATATGTGAATAGAAAAGGGATATGTTCAACAAATGTATAAGCTACTTGTAACGCCAAAGAAATCTTTACCAGTGTCGATGCGACTTGACCAAGCTCCGTCCACGATAATCGAATTTGGCGAAACTCCCTAGTGCATCGAATTATATATAATAATGTGCAAGGAGCAGCCTTGTTAGATGATGAAGGATATGGTATTGCACCGTGATTGTTGACACCATTTAAAAATCCAACCACACCTATTCAAGAAAATTATAATTTAATCCATGCGAAGGAACGTTGTGTCATAGAACGCTGCTTTGGTCAGTTGAAACGGCGTTTTCCAATGCTCCAGTATATTCGCCTAAAAATTTAAAACATTCCAAAACATATTGTAGTGCATTTGTACTTAATAACATATCTAAACATTTGCAAGATCCATACCATGATTTTGATCCAGTTCAGATGGAAGTACAAGATGCGATTGAACTGATACCTGAGGGTAATCAACCACAAATTCGAAATCGAGGCACACAACGTAGAAACGGCGAGGCTATATTTCGTGATGTAAACTAATATAATATCATTATGCACAGGGTCGTGTAATAACAAACAAATGTTAAAAGTAAATTATGTTATGTGGTATATGGTAATTATATGGTTGACTAACTGCTCACCAGCTTCGGAAAACTTCACTAATGCAATCGCGGCCCGTTCTTCAGCTGCCGCCGAAGACTGTTGAGCTCGAGCACAAGAAATTTAAGCTTCGGCTGCTTCAATTTGTTTTCGTAAGCAATTCTTCTGTATCTGAATCAGTGTCTCCTCTTTCGCATTAGGATTTTTAAGTGTTCCAGCTGTAAATTTTCCGGAACCAGATTTGGAACTAAGGAACTCATATTATTTTTTTTTGTAGTTAAACCCCATCCTTATCTACTACACCGGTCTGTCACGCACCTAGTACCGTGTGTAAGACTGGATTGTCTGGACGTTCCATCGGCTTTTGTGATGGATAATTACACTTTTGACGAAAGAGAGATTTTCTACCTCGTTTACTGTTTTGCCAATGGTATTTCCAAAAGGTTAATAACAATAGGAATTTTAATAAGACCATATCTTTTCCGGTCGAAGCTGGATTTCGACGGGATGGTATTCTTAATTACCGTAATACTCCATTGAATAGAGTGACGAAAATCCTCATGGGGACCTACAATCTCGCAACCAGGAACAATTTTCTTTAAATGTGTGGTGACAATTTAATTGGTCTTTTTACCCTTAAGATTGAACGGCGAATCTTAATAAGAGTTTTTTTAACAAAAATTGCCCGTACTGATAGAAGACGTTCCTCTGAATGCACGATCGAGCTCCTCCTCATTTTAGTATACTTACCTGTCAGAACTCATCTGAATAGCACCTTTGGTGAAAATTGGGTTGGAAAAGGTGGACCAATTCACTGGCTAACTCGCTCTCCTGACTTAAATCCAATAGATTTTTATTTATGCTTAAGATGATGGTTTACGCTACACCATAGAAACAATAGAATAACTAAGAAATAAAATCGTAAATGCTTGCGAAGAAATAAGAAATAGACCTCGAATTTTAGCTTGAATTCGTCGTTCAATGATGCGTCGATTGAGAACGTGTAGGGAAATGGATGGTGGAGTATACTTTATATCATGGTGCCTATTATAAAAGTTGCACTCTTTCCTATAGTTTTTTTGTGATTTTTTTATCAAAAATTGGTGAACCAATTTTGTACAGTGACAAGCAAAAAAAAGGTTGTTATTTTTTTTCTCAAAAACGAAGCGAGACACGAAATAATAAGTTTTTTTTAGAGGTTTAATCAAACAACCAATTTTAAAGTTACAAAAAAGGAAGTGGCGTACATTTTCTTGCCAATGATATTCGCTAAGGTGCCCCTCGGGATGCCAAATTTCAACACAATCGAGTAAATATTTTTTTAAAGAATAATTTTTCTTCAATTAACCTTGAAAACTCTGCATCTCCGGAACCACCTTTATGGAAGAAGTTTTTCATATTTGTTAACAAAGAATCACAGTCGAAAATATCTCCGTCTATTTTTCGAACACCGCGTATAATCTCAGACGATGATGCGTTCTTCGTAGCTTAACAACGTGGCGTCGTTGTTTCACCGGTCGCGCTTGCGCAGTCGTGACGGCTGGTGGAGCACTGACGTGCGGCGAATGACCATTGGCGTAACGTTTCCTACAGAGACGTGCACTTCGTGCAGTGCGTTCTTCAAGATATACATAGATATGACTGAAGACAGAACGTCATAGACATAAGAATACTCACATCGCCTTCAATATATATATATATATACACAGGGGGTCCGCAAAGTTGGGGTTTTCCTTTTCAGAAACAACTACCCTTGAAATAACAAAGGTAATGTGTAGTGAAACGAGGGCGACCAAGTAAAAAAAATAAAGGAAAAAGTACTCACTCTCCAGTTGACGAGAAGGGCTAAGTACGTCTCAACCCAAAATCATACCGCTCCAACAGAAAATGAAATCAGCTGATGCGCTACCGAGCAGACGCCGGCGGTGGTGCAGACCACGAACAGAGGTAACAAATATGACCATCGTGCAGAAACCACATTGATTGTCTTACATTTAATGGCACATCTTCTAACAAGGAAGGCAAAATGTTGCGTAAAAAGTTTAGGTATTGCATCCCGTCCAATCGATTTGGGAGAATAAATGGTCCAATGAGCATACCGTTCACCATGCCAGCCCAAACATTCACCGAAAATGTTTGTTGAAAATGTGCCCGACGGACAGCGTGCGGATTTTCTATTGACCTAACATGAGTGTTGCGAAAGTTATTCACCCCATTACGCGTGAACGTAGATTCGTCTGTCACCAATATGCACTTCAAACAGTCCAATTTATTGTCATGTTGATGCAACAACCACTCACAAAACCGCACTCTTGCTGGAAAATCGTCAGGTTGAAGGGCTTGTACACGTTGGACGTGAAACGGATACAGCCCCTCTTCACGCAGCGTTTGCCACACTTTAGTTTTTGATACCTGCACTTCTCTAGCTACGTCTCTAGTGCTTGTTGTTTTTTGAAACGCAATCGATTATACGGGTTCGTTTCCCTCTACACGCGTGACCGTAACCGTCGGTTGAAGGTTGCATACTGACCTGACACACTGACCCCGACCCAGTTCTGTCGTCGGGTTGAGCTAGTGTCCTAGTACCAGTCGGGGGTGTCGCGAGTCGCGGCTACAGGACGGTTTTCAGATATTTTCAATGTTGCAGAGCCCTTTATCTGGGTTCCCTTAAGACATTGGTGTACATGGTACTAAGAAAAATTGCTTATGTTTTCAAGATCTACACGTCGTGTAAAGGAAAACCCCAACTTTGCGGACACCCTGTATATATATGTACGAGGTATTAATGCATGCTAAACACTTATGACAAATACTGCAACACTAGAAGTACCGGTGCCTTGAATATTCCACTTTTTAGGCTATATATATAGCACCAACATATTTTAATGCTTACAATCAAGGATTTTTAATTAGAGACATTCTACGAGCACAATGAGTTTTTTATTTTAGATTTTGAATTCTGTCCTTTTTAAATTTGTCACTATAATGTTGTGACCTGTGTAAGTATAATCCATGGACAACGGCACTAATAAATCATTTGTATTTATTTGTATTTGATGAAATCATTTTTTGCAATATCGATCATAAATAAATGTGATAAAAGTGTATCACACATTAACTAGCGGCTAAATCATAAACAGATGATGAAATAAAAAGCAATATGAGAATTAAAACGAGATATCCGCACAAACTCGCGTCAAAATTTATTTCTGTCGATGGAATAATTGCATCACAGTTGGTGAATATGCGATGACATTGGTCTGCTATCTACAAAATGTACACGTGGCAATTAAAATGCGAAGTTGCGCGCAGTTTATTGTACTTTGCTACCTATCTTCGCGCTTGCACATAATAATCAAATGTCATACATCATGACATGAGGTCACTCCATCGTGATAGAGTATTCATTACTCAGAAACGTTTGCTGAAATTGATACTCAACATAAGACGTTGTTGTTACAGAATCATCAATATAACACCAGAAACGTCAACATTAAACTCTTTCAGAGGCATTCTATCTCATCCTTTAAAAACTCTGCTTTCTACAATTGTGTCATCTTATCGAATAGTTTACCTCATCGTATTAGAACACTAAAAAGCTACCACAAATTCAAAACGAAAGTGAAACGCTTTCTCACGAGCCACGCATTTTATAGCGTTAATTTCTCAAATATAAAGCCATACTTTCTTAATCACTTTTTTATTATTTGTTGTTCTATGTTACTTGTTCAGAATTGCTTTTATGTATTTTAATTCACACTGTATTGCTGTATTTCAGATCCATTTCCACCTATTTTTTTTTTAATCGAAAGCATGCTTAGTTTATATATTATATTTGTACCTATAGCTATGACATGCCACATATACTTATACACTGTATCTTGGGTGGTCAATATATGTATGTACAGGGTTTGTCCGGAAAGTAATAGGACTCACTTTCTTTCTCCATGACTGTACTTGCACGCACCGACTGCATTCGGTAGAGGGCGTTCCTAGCTAACGAATGAGCAGCTGGTCAGTTGTCTCCGAGCAATTGGAGAGTCAGGACAAGCATTTTCGCGCGAATTCTGTGTGAAACTCGGTAAATCTGCGACAAAGACGTGGTGTGATTCGGTGGCACCAGGCCTTTATGGAGGGCTGGAAGACCTTCGACTTCGACAAACACCGATAATGTGACTCGTGTGTGCAAAGTTTTGAACTCAGACCGTCGACTAAGTATTCGTTTAATTGCCCAGATGTTAAATTTACCAAAATCTGTGGTTTATGACATTGTGACACAGCATTTGAACATGCGCAAGGTGTGAGCGAAGATGGTCCCAAAAGTGCTCACCGATGACCAGAAATTGCGGCGAGTGGAAGTGTGCCAAGAAAATTTGAACATGTCTGAAAGTGACCCCCAATTTTTGAATAACGTAATCACAGGTGACGAGTCGTGGATCTTTGAGTGTAATCCCGAGACAAAGGGGCAATCTTCCGAGTGGCACACGACGGCGTCTCCTCGCCCAAAAAAGGGAAGAATGAGCAAATCCAAAGTGAAACCGATGCTCATTGTCTTTTTTAACATCAAAGGCATCGTCCGCCATGAATTTGTTCCACCACGACAACGCCCCGGCTCACACCGCCTTTCTTGTGAACAGCTACCTGACCAAGGCCGGCATCCCAACGCTTCCGCAGCCGCCCTACAGCCCAGATGTGCCCCCCCGGACTTTTTTTTACCTCGCCTGAAAAGGCCGATGAAAGGCAAGCATTTTGAGACGACAGAGGGGATCCAAGCAGCATGCACCGCAGCTCCCAAGGCTATTCCGGGGAATGCCTTCCGTGACGCCTTCAATGCTTGGAAATTGCGCTGGCAGCGCTGCATCGACGCAGAAGGAGACTATTTTGAAAGTTTTTAAAGAATGGTAACGATTGGCTCAATAATTTTTTTAAATCGACTCAGTCCCATTACTTTCCGGACAAACTGTGTATTGTCTAATGTCTATATCCTTTTCCTGAATTGGTACAGTATCTATCTACTTCAAAAACTAGGGTCGGTAAACAGTCTTATATAAGAAGATGTTACGACAGAACATGACAACAAGTGCAACCCAGTACACGCAGCTTACTTCAAAATTAAAATATTTCTTCCACAGATCCAGATGCCATCTTGCTCTTAAAGTTTCTTAGTTGATTCGGCCACATCTTCTATTTCAGTCATTGTTCATGATGCCATTTGTAGTCCTTATGGGTCTAAATTAGTTATAAAAACACTATACAACCAAAATGGTGCATTAGGTAGATCTGCCGTACAATGATACTGATAGTTTAATATACTCGTAGAAGAAACTTGTTCTCAGGACTTTCAACTAATTATTAAAACTAGATGATCTATTTGAAGTTCAATTTAGCTATCGGAACAATAGACCCATCGCTTCTAGAGGTATGTGTCTTGCACTTACGGTCATAGAAAATCGCCCAAAGGTTCAGCATAATTTTGCCGACGCTACTACAGGGGTGGTCCCCAAAACAAGGTCTAGTATTTTTTGAGAGTACGAAAACATCATTTCATTAACTATTTTGATCATTAACCAGTAATTTGAATTTCTCTTTATTAATGGTAGAGTATCAATTCCTAGGTACAAACCCTTTTCAATGATTTTCTTTTGGCATATTTTATAATTTGTTGATCTATTAAGCTGAAACCTGTCTAATCCTGAAAGTATGATTTCACACGTATGTCTCTCTTTCATAGCGACTTAAGTTTTGTGTTGAAGTCTTTTGGGCACACTCAGAAATTTCCTTATAAAATATTGTTAGTCCCTTGTAGAGTTTCTAGGGTCCGCGCATTGGCAATCAGTGCCACCCTGTAGTTTTTCTCAGTGCCAACCTATATGAGAATATTCGGTTTTCCTATCAAACATACCTTCAAGGCCACTCATTTAAACGTCTGTCCTTTAAAGTAGGTGTTTTGCATCAGTCATTTTCCTGTTGAGGTGTGGTGTATCAGTCGTTTGATTGATTTCCAGATTTTGGAATATTTGGCCCCAATTACCAGCTTATGGAGTAGCACTCTTTCTTGTACCTACCTTACGTTTAGTTGTTTTGGTTTGGGTTCAAGCCCCTCCATTTTTTATGGGATTTTAACCTCTTCAGCGGTAAGTTCTTTTGTTCATACCATCAGACCACGTGCATTAATGCATGTTCCGAAGAAGTTTGTTTAATATCTGCTTCCTTTTAGTGGGAAGGCATTGACGAAAACCACCATTCGCGCTTCTCCAGCTTTGCAGCTGTTTTGTAGCCGAGTTTACTGGAAGCCACTCCCTTCCCATGAGAAAAAAGACCCTGATGTGAACAGATAAAATATCATTTCAATTATCTTTTTATAGATACTTATATATTAATTTTATTGTTGTCTGAAATTCTTAGAGTGTACTTGATTTTTTGGTACGTATTTTACGTAGTCAAATATGGGCAATGCCTACATGGCACCTTATATTGGGCTTACTCCATAAATTGATCATTATTTTGACCTTTGGGCTGCCATAACTTTTATTTATAACAGGGGATAACTTTCAGAGGGCATATTACTTTAATACATTTTCTCTTTTTGCATTTGCTTTACTTTCCTTGTAAAAAATGTACATGGTTTTTTTTCCGAGTTCGAGTGTTTTCAATGAGCAGTTTTGTGTCAGATAGAGAATAGAGTGTAGATTTTTAAGCTGTCTTTCTCTCTCTAGGGTTTTTTAATACCGTAAATTTTGGATACGGGGCAAGCAGCCCCTACCTTGTGCAGTTCCTTGCGTCTCGGTCCACTACTGGCCACAGCTGAGATCATCTCGGCTGCGCCTGAAGACTGCACTGGAGGAAGACGTTTAACGGGGATACATTTTGAATATACTCGTATCCTTGTGCAGCAACTTTAGACATTTTTTTTTCAACTTGCACTACAGTGGTGGTACCTTTTTTCCATTGTGGAATACTTTTATTGCGGAACATATGTATGTGTTGTTTAATTGTTTAATATATTGTAATTTTTCTCAAATATCTTTATTGACTGTTTAAATTTTCGCGCTACTAGACAGCTGTTTTGCATTGGCTGACCATTAGATTTCATTTATCGTTTTTATTAATTTACTAATTTAATAATATTAAAAAAAGGCGCGGCAGAAGCTTAAACTTTCCCACATAAGCCACATTCTGTGTAAGAATCAGCGTTATAGTGATACCGATACCTTTAGTTTAATACAAAAGAAACTTCTCTCATTCATCAGTATAATGAACATAATTATCACTGCTTCTATCGCCTGTTCCAGTCTCTCCAAGCAGACTAACTAACTGACTGAGGTGCTATAAGAAAAGCCATAGAAATACCTGTGAATACGCTTAATATATATTTTGGATGCTGAAAGACACATCGCCAGTGAAGGAGAAAGAGGTAATCCTGGCTGTTAGGGAATTTAATTTTAGATGGACAATGAATCTGATTTCTGAACATCTCAGGGTATAAAAGGGACCTTAATGGCCTATAAATGAATACTGAAAAGGGAGAGCGCCCTAGAATAAAGATTTAATTGGTCGATCAAAAGATGAAGATTCTCGTGGTATAATTGTACTTTATCGACGGGGTTTCAGCCATTCAATTACGTTATCCTAAATGTCTTCATTCTAAGGATCACGAAACAACTATTGTTTTTTAAACAAATACTTTAGACATGTTAGTATGAAATATAGCGTTAACCTTTTTTCTACGAAAATGGAAACTGCCCTACAAATTTTTTGATTTCCTAGCGTTCATTCAGTTTCGATGGATGGTCGAGTTCTACTAAAGTGCCGTCGGACATGTCAGACTTCGGACTCCTATCTTTACCTTGTAAAACTCCGTACACCCAGAACAAAAAATAGAATAACAACGTACCTTTGACCTTTTGTAGCAGTCACGGTGCTCCGGTGTTTGAGCTTCAGGTCTATGTGGCGGCTCCTGGATAATAAAAGTACGCCAAAGTTGTACGTATAAACGCCTTTGTGTCGAGTTACATTTGAACATTCCATCGAAGGGAGAATCAGAGATTCCAGTGAACGTTTGCCAGCGTCACCTCTATGCTTATTGTATTTTCTGTTTTGACCTTTCTACTTCTATATATGCATATTATTATTATTATGAGCATTTTGTTACTTGTTCCATAATTTTTGCTGGTATATTAGTATAACAAAATACTCTGTCCATGAGGTACAGCGAGATTCACATCATCAGAATTACTACAGGTTACAGATTCAGATCAAGTACGTGACTGCGTAAACACTCTCAAAAATCTGGGAAACCAAAACAAGGTAACATTGCTCTGGGTACTAGAACATGAAGGGCACAAAGGAAATAAAAAGACGGATGATCTAGCCCGACATGGCGCGGCCAATCGCCTTGTAGATCCAGAGCATTTCTGTGGCGTGACCAATCCATAAGAGTTTGGACCAAGAAAAAGTCACTAGAATGGTCGCGCAGCCAATTAGGGCAAAGACTCTAAAAAAAGTTCATCAAAGAATGAAGGACCTCATTTACACAGGACCTACTCGTTGATACGGAGTCCATAAGGGCCATAGTAGGTCTCCTGTGAGGACACTGTCGTCTAAATCGCAATATGACGCTCTTGGATCTGGCAGAAGTAGCCACATGCTGTTTCTGCAGAGTGCATGAGGAAACCTCAGTGCGTCTCTTTTGTAGTCTGTAGTAATCATCGAAATTATTAACAATACGTTTCATCAGATGCACTATGTTATTTGAATAGTTAATTCCTTCATAATTCCGGATATTCAGAGGCCTGGCTTTGTATTATATGGGGTTGTCCAAAACGGACGCAGGAAAGTAAACGCATATTAAAACAAGAAAGATTGATATTAAAATCAAGTTGGGTACTTTATTTTGAAGGTTCATTTATACCATTTATGTATGAAAAATAATATCGCTCAAATGTTCACCACGACTGGATTTACAGACGTCCACGCGATGGTCGAAATTTTCAATGACATTTTGCAACATGGTCGGTTCTATGGCATTTATCTCGGCAATGATGTTGTTTTTGAGTTCTTGGAGGGTGGCTGGTTTGTTGACGTAGACTTTGCTTTTCAAATATCTCCATAAAAAGAAGTCCAAGGGAGTCAAATCGCACGATCTTGGTGGCCATGGCACATTTCCTCTGCGCGAAATCACGCGATCACCGAAGAAGGACGGCAATCGATGGATATTGACGTTGGTTGTGTGGCATGTTGCACCGTCTTGTTGGGAATAAACATCGTCCATATCCATTCCTTCAAGTTGAGGCAAAAAATAGTCCTCTATCATCACGTGATATCGCTCAGAATTGACGGTAACGGCGTCCCCAGCCGCATTTTCGAAAAAGTAAGGTCCGATGATGCCTTTTGACCACAATGCACACCACACAGTCACTTTTTGAGGATGCATCGGCTGCTCTTGATACGCACGGGGATTTTCGTTCACCCAGATGCGGCAGTTTTGCTTGTTTACCGTCCCATTCAAAGTGAAATGCGCTTCGTCGCTGAACATGATTTTTGATGAAAAATTGCCATCAATTTGGCGGTGTTCAAGGAGCCAATCTGAGAACGTTCGGCGCAAAAAATGGTCGGCCCGATGCAGCTCTTGCGTCAATTGGATCTGGTTCTCGAAATGCCCAATTCTTGGGATCGACGCGTTGTTGATTGTTTCGGATCATCTCTCACACTCTCCTTCACAACAGCAATATTTTCCGGTGTTTGAACGCTCCTTGGCCGGCCAGAGCCTGGCAGATTTGCCACAGAACCTGTTGCCTCGAATTTACGCACCAGACGACCGATGGTTGTTTCGTTTGGGCGGTTGTTGCGACCGAAATGTTCACGAAGCGCGCGAAACGTGTTTTTTATTTTTGCACCATTTTTGTAGTGCTCTTGAATAACTTTAATGCGGTCTTCAATCGAATACGACTCCATAGCGATCAATGGTAAACATTCAACTAACAAAATGACATGTCGGTGACAGAAAAACAAAGATGGCGTCTATGTCAAATTGACGTTTACTTTCCTGCGTCTCTATTGGACAACCCATTATATTCACAATACGTCAAATTCTCTGTTCAATTTAGTGTCAGCTACTTTTTGGATATGGCTGTAAGCAATGGCGTCAAGTAGTTTGACCCTGCCCTGCTTACGCACGCTGTCATGAGTTCATAAAGGGCTATATTCGGTACAGATTAGTTAGCTATAAATATGTATGACAAATAAATCAAATGGGCTCATACAGTTAATTAATTAACAGTGTCCTCACAGATTTGACAACATTACCACCCTGCCGACAATACTGACCACCCAGCGACGTGCCAACCCAGCACAGGTTTGCATACACGAGAATACGCATCACTTATACAGGATGTCCTCAAAGTCGGAACTTGCCTTCACATGGCGTATAGATCATGGAATGATGAGCAGTATTTTCTAGTGAGATAGACACCATATGTTAGACCCCGCAAAATAAATCAAACCTAAACCAAACCTAATCCGGCTCTGCACCTCGATCAGATCATTCGATCAAGCGCTGGCCGTGTTATTAAACAAAAACTTTATACAACTATTCAAAAAAAGCAACAATGGCACACCTATACAGCATCATTGGATCTGTTCATATTGTTTTATCTTACGGTGTCTTGTAAATGCTACCGAGGCTTCGCGAGTGCATGAAGATCGTTGTTCAAGATCCTTCGCGATTTATTTTCTGTTTGGGGTACAATGAAATGTTTAGGCTCGATTTTAGTATTGATCCGCGAGATCAAGACTATTGGTCCGTATCAAAATGGACCAATGAGAAGCCACTTTGTCGTAATGGATCAAGAAATTGTTTATAAATCACCTATAGGTGATGGAACTAAATTCAAAACTAACATAAGCACCTGAGAAAATTGAAAAAAGGATATATCGGTTGTAAATTAGGTGTAGCTTTCAACAAACTCCTTAATTATCTTCCATTATAATATGTTTCTGCTGCTGAACCTGATCCGAATGTCGTTTTTCAAGGTAAATAGAAGTGTTTCTGGGTTATAGTTATTTTAAACACCTTTATCTGGTTTAGACGAATATACACTGTTGCCTTTGCTTTATAATATTTTAGAAAAGATGGTGGAAACCAGATAAGAAATTATACTACAAAAATGAAGGTCTGTAATAATAGTCTGCAAAATGTAAAATGGAAAACCTTCTTTCTTGTGCCCTTTGGTCGGATAAAGATGTATTCAAATTCAGATAATAATAACAACGATATTCGAATACGCATTTCAAGTTTTTACTATTTTGTGATACAATAACAATTATAACAAATTATAACGGTATTTATGACAACACAAAATACTTCTTTATGACATGGACAAAACAAGGTGGTTAGTATGTAAAACGTACCCAAAAAGCCGGAAATAGCATTCGATTTTTTCTATCACCCACGGTTTTCTTACAATAAGGCATTTCATTTGCTGCTTATGCTCCTAAAATATACGGAGATGTGTGTAAGAGTACTAATAAACACTCGAATAAACATTAATCTCAGAATGTCGTTGTCGATATTTTACGGCGATATGTTGCTCCTGAAGTATCTCTTAACAATGTCCAGCAATAATCAGAACCAAATTGACACTAAATTTGCCTTGATACCGTTTTTCCATAGCAGAAATGGTGGAACCGTTCACCATATTCATCACTTACCGCACCTAAATTTTCCGGAAAAGAATCGAGATGAGAATCCAAAAAGTGAATTATTGCCTCACTAAGTCTCGCAAATGTTTGTTTTAAATGCAGAAACCCTCTTCCATTTCGATCCATAGCTTTCACAAAATTTTTCATCAGTCCCAACTTAATAGGCAAAGGTGGAAGCATCACGTTTTTGGGATCAAATAGTGGTTCATGAGCAATGTTTTTGAGGCCCGGAGTTAATACCTGACGTGGTGGCCACTCCTTCTGTTCATAATGACGATCTCGCGCACGACTGTTCCATTCACAAAGAAAACAACAATATTTGGTATATCCCAGTTGCATTCCAAGAAGTAGGGCTATTATCTTTAAATCTGCACATATGGCCCATCTATATTCATTATAATGGATATGCTCTAACAGAACTCGCATATTTTCATCTGACTCCATCATATGAACTGCGTGCGCTTTAGGTTCAGACGGATATTTATTACCGTTGCGTACCAATACCGCTTTTAAACTAAGCTTAGAGGAATCAGTGAACAGGCGCCAATCATTCGGATCATGTTTCTGTCCTAACGTATCAAACAAATTGTTTGATCGGAGCAATATATCAACTCCCTTTCTTGACGGAAACAGTGTGTGAGGTCTTGTTGCCGTTCTCGGTAAAAAGTAATGTTAGCATCACCGTGGAGAAGATTCCATCCTTTTAATCTTGACGCTAAAAGTTCTGACGGGGATTTTGACAGATATGATTATCGAAATAAGTCACTAAGTTCGCCCTGTGTGGTAAAATGCGGCGCTGTTGAAAATTCTGGCACGTCAAACGAAGGATCGGAAATTTTTACGCTTTCTGTACCATCACTTTCAGAATGGGTGGATTCGACTTTTTCATCCAAAGACGAACATTCTGGTGGAACTAGGACAGAAAGTTCATCACTATGCTTAACCGGCCGCAAAGCTAGTAAATTAAAATACTTAACAGTATGTTTCGATTTTGGTCCAATACCTTTAATATCTGTGAGGCAAAAATAGCAATCAGTAGTAGATATGTTCTCTCGGTTCTCTCTAAACCATTGGTACCGCAAAGGGCATTTTACGATTGTCGCCTCTTAACCAACCTATTAACAACGTTACAGAAGTCTTACAACATATATGAGCGGCCCATAGTTTATCTTGATCGCCAGCTTCAATTCCAAAATAAAGCTTGCATGCATTGAACACAAGGGGAGAAAAAGTACGTTTTTGGGATTTGAAAGTTAGCTCTCCGCACACATAACAAAAACTGTTCACACTATTTACACAATTTCTAGGCATTCGCTATGAAGCTAGTATCGATCACAATAAACTATAAACAACACACCGTTTTAACAAAAATTAACAGAACACAGAACATCTCAGTACCCTTCAACATAGAAAACGTAGCTGACTCGGCTGCTATTAGTCTACTAATTAACGCAATATGCTCTCTAAACATAGAGTTCGCATATAATAAACAGGAATAGACAGGTCTTAACATTATATATGTGCGCCATCGCAAAACGCCGAGAAATACAGCAATATGAGATGTAACGTATTGTAATTAATAGAAGTAGATGTTACCGAATATTTTAACAGTGAGTAGATCTGATCAAACGAAATGTTTTTTTCCTTTAACATTTTTCTGGTAAAATTAAAGTAACAAAGTTATAGCCCTTTAGAAGTGTGAGTACCGCCCTGTCTCAATAATAATATTATGTGCTCGTGTTGGCAACAACGGATATAATCCGCCTTATCCGTTCATCGCATCGGAAACAAAAAGGCTAAAGAATTTGAAACGATGTTTTTACTACAATGTACAATTTTATTCAGTTGTATTTAGTCAATGTGTCAGTCGGTAACGCGTGAGTGAATAGTGGTGTTTGTTGCGTGGCTCAAACGAAATAAAAAATGGCACATGTTTACGAAAATGCTGAATGTAGTACAAATGGCTCGTGAATCAGGTGACTTAAGACCTCACAGG